CACTCGAGTGCCTGTAGCGTGATGTCCCCAGTCGGTCTTTTCAGTACATGCCTAATCCAATCCATCTCCACTTCCTTCTGCATATTTGTTGAGTGATAGGTTCTTGGTTGGTTCATCGACAGGTCAGAGTTCCTCATTGCTAATTCTTTTTGGCCATCTATCTGAGCTTCAGTAACGAGTGTAGGCAGTTGTTGACGAATGTCTGCAGTTAATTGGAAATCCCTATCGTAATGCTCCAAGTCTCTGAACCACACAGGAGCACTGACTTGACGTTGGTGTTGAAAATCCGGATCTTGTTCACGCTTTCTACCGAGTGCAGTGCAGAAGATCTCCACACTGGTTTCAGGTTAATTGAACGTCTGTCTTGCTTTTCCGATCCTGGCTGGCTTTGACATCCTTGTCTGTGCCGCCTGTAGTCGAAACGACGCTGCCTAGATAGGTAAAAGAGGCTAATTCCTTTAAGTTTATTCCCTTGATGGTGACTGGAGCTAATTGTTGGTGTTGGTGCTGTTGGTTGGGTATCTTCATCACCTCTGTCTTCTCTACATTCACTTGAAGTCCTATCTTCGCTACCTCTCCTACCAACTTGTTAATTTTCGCCTGTAGACCTTCGAGTTTGTGTGACAATATACACAAGTCATCACTGGCGATATCCAAGTCTTCTAGGTTCTTTTCCGCAGTCCAGCGTATCCCTCTCTTCTCATTGTTTGTTGCATGATGCATGGGTGATAGTAAACAGCCTTGTTTTACTCCTGTCTTCACTCCAAAGTTATCACTGAGCTTCTCATTGTGAATTACTTGGCAAGTGGCGTCTTCATGTAGTTGTTGAATTAGGTTGGTTAAGGTTTGTGGTATTCTGTAGTGTTTGAGCAGTTGCCTGCCAAATTACTTCTCGATCGACACTGTCGAAGGCCTTTTCAAAGTCGATGGGGTTGAGGTAGAGAGTTGACTGCCATTCTATACTCTATTCTATGGTGATGCGAAGCGTTGCAATTTGATGTGCATATGATTTGTACATCCTGATTACAGCCTATTCCGGTCGTAGTTTTGATCCAGCGCATCCTTTAGTCTCTCCGTGATGATGCGGCCTAATATTTTACTTGCGATGGACAGGAGTCTGATTCCGCGCCGGTTCTTGCAAAAACTTTGGTCGCCCTTCTTCGGAAGTTTGACAAGATAGCCTTCTTCCAATCTGCAGGTAACTTTCCTTCCTACCACACCTCCTGCAGTAATGGTGTGAGCATGTCCGCTGTTGTCCCTGCGTCTGTTCTCAGTGCTTCTGGCGGGATTCCGTCTGGTTCCGCTGCTTTCCTGCATTTCAGTAGCTTCATTGCATTCAGGACTTCGACTTTCGTCGAAGGGCCTGTGTTGTTGTAGTTCTGTGGCTTCAGGTGGTATTTCTGGGCGAAGTGCAGGTGGTGGTCAATTCAAGAGCCTTTTGAAGTAGCCAGCACATCGTTTCGTTTGTTTCTCGTCTTTGGTGATTAGATTTCCTCCATCATCTTTTACTGCTTTCATCTGTGTTGATCTCTCCCCGGATAGTAACCTGGTTATTTGGTGTGATGTTGTCAGGTCTCTCCTACCAGCAACCTGTTCTGCTTCACTTGCCAGTGTGTCGTAGAAGTGTCTTTTGTCCTTCCGGACACTCTTCTTCACTTATTTGTCCAGTGTTTTATACATTGTACTTAGGTCCTCTCGTTGTTTATCCTTGCACTGGTTTATCTTTTGCTTCAACATCCTCCTCTCCTCTATCAGCTTCCATGTGTTTGTCGAGATCCATTTCTTGTCTTCTTTTTTCTTCCTCCCTAATACGGTCGTGAAGGTTTCTTTCCACATAGATTTCAAAGAGCTCCAGTGTTCTTCCACACAGGTTTCTTCAGGGATGCTGCTCGATTTCTCCCATTTTGTCTTGATGGCTGCCTTGAAGATGTTTCTTGTAGTTTCACCCTTCAGTTTCTGGGTGGTGAACTTGAACTGCGGTCTATCACCAGCTTCCTTGAAGGCTTTCAACTTGATTTTGAAGGTTTCTTGCACTAGATAGTGAGTGGTCTGGGCCCACATCTGCTTCTCTTCTTGACCTTGTGTCAAGTAGACTGCGTCTCCACTTTCTTCACATTGAGATCAAGTCAATCTGATTTTTAGTGTCCATCTGGTGAAATCCATGTCGCGTTGTGGATATCATTATGCTTGAACACACTGCCTCATTGCAATCACCAAATCGTTGAATGCGCAGAAGTCTTCAAACAGTTCTCTATTCTCGTTCATTTTACCCAGCGCTTCTCGACCCATGGTTAGTTCTCTTCCTGTGTTGTCCCCTCCCAGTTTGGCATTCATTTCGCCCATTAGAATTTTGATAACGCCAACTGAGATTTTGTCCACTGTTGATTGCAGTTGTCTGTAGAATTCCTCCTTCTTCTCTTCATACGCATTATTTGTAGATGAACAGCGTAGCATTGGCACTGTATGATTGTGACTTTCCTTCCTTTTCAGTTGAATCTTGCTGTCATGACCTTGATCCTGCAGGAGCAGATTGGTTCCCACTGTACGAGAGCTTTTGATGCTCTCGGCGACATCATGATAGCCATCCGAAAACTCGGTGTGCTCGTGGTTGTCGTCTGGGTGACAATATCGGAGTAGATTATTGACTCTGCAGTAAACAGTTTGGAGAGTCCACTTCAATTCCATCTGCTCTTGCAGATTCCTCGCACTTCTATGCCATGTCTTCTCACGTCTTTTGCAATTTGGGCAGTCTTACTAGCCAGCTTCAAACATTGTTCGAAGATTTCATGTCTCCATGTTTACTTTCGCTTTCATCGAGAGAAGACACATCGACCAATTGGATTCCAGAAGGCTTTCACCAACCGGCGTCATTTCGTCTCTTCGATTCCAGCGAGGAATAAGTTTGTTTTTATGTTTCATATTTTGTCTGTGCTTTGAAGTTTCTGTAGCTGTTGGATTGGTTTTACGGGGCAGAGTTGCTAGCGCTATGCCCCAGCTTTCCTCTTTAACCGGGCTTAGGACCGGCTAGTAACTAGTGTACTAGTTAACCTTGATAGTACTTCTGAAAATTCATGTCAAAGTAAGTCACCAATAAGCACTGAACTGCAATTCATCTTGGGTCAGTTTACGTGATTAACATGCGTTTAGTCCTACCTTGTGTAAATCATCAACACAGTACTGTTTTATGACAGTACATGACATTGGAAAAATTGCTGTTGACGGGAGGCCTCCATATTCGCACAAGACATTATTTATTTTTGTATGTAGTTTTAAAAAACCTTCTCCGCACCTTTTTTTACAGCAAAGTCAGTAGTCTATTCTCCCCACTTTTTCCAAGGCAAATCGGTGAATTGTAGACGCTACTCCTAACACTTTAATGTTTTTAATTCTGAATAAAGTCACATTTTATGTAGATAAACAAATGTTTCAGGTTGTTGCCAGCTTTCTGTAGGCACTAATAGTCCTCATCTAAACCAGTCTTTTTCATGTCTGCTTTCGACAGGGTTGTTGTATTCCGTGTCATCTGGTGTATGAGTTAGTCGTTAGATAGAAGCGCACGTACTTCCTAATAGTCAGGAACACATCAGTTGTCTCTATGGCTATAAGGATGATGGTTTGGTATTTGAACTGATGAGTAGTGACTTCTTGTGTCACAGGCAGGAATAGACCCCCATGTGCATTTAAATATTTTTTGTAATATTGGGAAAAGCAAGGCTTGAACTTCTCTAGCGATCGTGGTCAGCAAGAAGAAACATATCTTATAATTCAATGGAAAAGGCGAAAAAATTGTCCATGCGTAGTTTCTGCAACAGTATATGTATCAGAAATACACTCACAATATTTATTAGTGAATAAAACAAAAAGATAATAATAATGGTGGAAATAAATCTGCTTATCTATGCATCGTAGATCTGCTCCATGCTTACATGCTTCACGAAGGTTTACATAGTGGGGTTAATTGATGCTGGATTTTTGTTGCTGGCTTGTGAAAACCGGAGATGTTTAGCACCTCAGGGATTACGCGTAGATCCTAGTTACGTACGAAGGTGAACCTCCTTCCGACTCTCTGAATATCAACCAATACACTGTTAAATTGATCTAACGAAAACCATGGTGGACGAGATTCATGTGTGCAAGATCAGTGGTGCGTGTGTCCATAGAATGGACGGTTTTATTAGCTGCCAGGATTCCACCCAGGGTGCTAGGAGCAGTGCAACCAAAGGTTAAGTGGAATTCAGTCCCTTGATTTCCGTAGTAATGGTTGTTTAGACGATCCCTGGAAGAGGGTGAAGTCTTGCCTTGCAAAGGCGAGCGACTCTCTGTCCAGGTTGCTGTTGTCGTTAGCCCCAACCTGTCTGCGTTTCAATAATCTGAAAGGAGCAACCGATATGAATCTGCGAAAATTATGGGATCATGTATCAGGCCTCCTAGAAGGATGCCCTTCCACAAAGGCAAGCTGCACTTAGGTCTGCTAGGCCCTGAAGATTCCAGTGAGATGTGTTTGACGTACGCCTGTCCACGGGGTGGTGAGTACGGCCAACAAACCGATCGCCCGGCAAATGTGGACGTGTTAAAGCGTAACAGGTGTTATGGTTCTAGAATAATGCTTATCAAATTGAAGTGGTGTTAACAGAATCCTCTAGTAAGAGTGTTCATTTTCAGGTGAACGGGTTGCCTGGATATTTGCCACTCGATGACGGGACCGATTCATCAGGTTTGTGTTGGTAGGTCCATAGATTTGAAGACATCTGAAAGTTGAAGTCAAGAATCGAACTGAAACCTATATGAGTAAAATAAAAAATATAATGAGATGGCAGCTACAGTTACAATTGAAACCTGTGTCATAGCAAGACTCGAACCCAGGGACCACTCGAGACAATTTTACCAAATAAAGGGTATCATAATAACATTTAAAAAACCTTACAACAATGAATTTATGTAATAGGAGAAACGCTTATATTTTACAGGGAAAAACAAAAATGAATAACATTTCCACTTACATGGTGAAATATCACGATAACGATTCTTTATCGAATTCTCGTTTAGACGGGATACATTCATTGTGAGACCAGATTTTCTTCTAGGTAAGTGCTGTCACAGATTTAAAAGTGAACAGTTTAAAGGTATAGTTCAGTTGAGATTTATTGTCTTTCGTAGTAAATTAAGTAGTTTGTTGTGATGTAAATATCGCTAAGCAAAACACACAAAAGTTCCTGTTTCATCCTGTGAATAAGTAGCACGTGAAGGACCTACGACTTGTTGAAAGGTCAAGCCTAGGACATTTGTGATCTGTTTCAGATACTATAGCCCATTCTGCATACTGATTTCACTTCAAATAATTCATATAATCAACTCGTCACTTAGTGTGACTTCTGTCGCTATTCACTACACCCATGCAAAGAAGCTACACTCAAAATTTCATATACAGAATTCAGGGAATGGTTAAGTAGGTGGCCATGTTTGTTTATTGATTTGATATGGTATCACGAAAATTCAGACTGATATTATCATTTAGAAACAAGATTTATGTCTTGAAAAATCTTACTACCTAATTCCAAAGACGCAATCTAACTGCCTATGTACTACCCAACAACTGTAGAGTCGAGTATATTGATGAAAACACTTGATCTTGTTTGATAACGCAGTCGACTAAAGTACCCAGTTATCATAATACGGAATCAGTATTTAGCTATACAATAGGATGAGGAGGAAGTGGCAGTTCTTTAGGCTGTTGCATTGCACCATTCCCTGCAGTAATGAACATTGAAACTTTGGTAATCGAGTCAATAATCAAGATGTAAACAATACAAATAACTCAAAACCTATACTGGTTATGTAATAAAAGTCTGCCAACCTACTGAAAAGGATTAGGACGGTAAATGTCATGCTTAGAGGTTATGTGATGATATGACACCACGTTCTACTTTTTCTGAATTTCAGCGGGTGAGTTGGACTTGATATATCCAATCTCTTTTGTTGTCGTCAGCTTGTTGGTTAGCAGTGGAATCCAGAACACCCATTCCATTCTATACCCAGGTAAGTCATATTGTTCCCAGTGAGACTCAAACCCAATACCCACCGTTTCAAAAGCCAGAGCATTGTCCACTAGACCACTAAGGCACAACAGCTACTTCCTGTGCAACGGGTACAGACTGACAGAAGTAGCAAAATGTGAACCACTAGTTTTCTACCCAGTGGCTCAATTGTAACGTTCTCGCCATGTAACCTGATAGTATTGGACTGGATACCCGGTGGGGTCGTGAGTGTGCAGTCTTGAGGAGTCCCATACTAGTAATGCTCGTAGACTTCTAATGGCTCTCCAAATGATATTATTCCTTGATAAATACTACCCTGAAATTATTCAAACACCCATAAACCACCGAACTGCAATGCATAATAGATGTACACATTTACCGACGGTTTTCCCTGAGGCTGACTGAACAATTTATCGAGTGTAATAAAATTTCAAAACGTTGCCAGTCAATTCCATTCATTGACTTAGCAATAACATGAGTGACTGAATGAAATGCATTCGGCAATCTTGTGCACATTCATGCGGTAGGCACTGAGCTACACTTATCATGTGAAGGCCAATGGTACCACCTGGCTCCTCACACCTCTTTAGGTGGAGCAGAGATCGAATCCACGACCCATTGGCTGAAAGTCATTTCCCTAAACCAATGAGCCACTGCAGTCAAATGTTAGTCAATAGTTACGTAGGGTTATTGACTAGCTTGGTATCACGTTAGTCAACAGTGATCATCAAACGCATAGGATAGTACACTCAGTTATTAGGTACCAACAGCAAATATCAAAGGAGAAAAATGATGAACAACGTAAATCTTCAGTTAAACACAAGCCTATCCCTTTCATGTCACCGATGCTTACAATAACACAGACATAGGAAATGAATAGAAAGAGAAGGAATATGAACACAGATGAGAGGAAGGATGAAAGCGAAAAGCGGGAAACAAAAAGATGAATAGCAATAAAATTTTAGCGATATTAGAGTGCAAACATCTTCATCACTTTGATGACCTTTCACCTATTTTTCCTATATACTACTACCCAACCTTCCTAACTTCTTTTTAAGAGTTATGGCCAGCTAAGGTTTATTTTCGTGTATGGTTCCGACTATTCCAGTTAGTGACGTCACGAATTATCAGCATGCTTCAATCCAGACACTCATTTTTTCTTCCTTTATTTTAATTCTCTGTTTTAGCCAATATTAAGAGAAGAAGCTTGACATGTACAGCACATATTTAAGTTGGGTGGGGACAGTTTATGCAACTTCATTGACTGTTTTCACTTTGTGATTAAATGAAATGTCTTTGACTTTGCGGTTTTACCATAAGTTCGTGGTGTTACGAAAACGCTTTTGTCAAATACCTGTAGCCTATGCGTATTGTTCACCTTCGATGACATTCAGTCGACTGGGGTGGGGTGGGGTAACAATAAATAGGTCGCATGCGCTATGGGATCTCCGATAGTCTTACTGTATTCATATTGAGATTTTATCAGCAAGAAATTTACATACGTTTGTGCAAGTTCTCAAAAAGTGGAGCGGTCAGTCAGTGTGGGATCACTCTAATTTACTAACTCCAATTGGGTTGTGATATAGACCAGTCCTACAGGGTCATCTTACATTCGACGGGTGAGAGGTTTTCCTAAAGCCCTTCAAAAGACACTGTATCTTTGCAATCTGCTTGCCTAATGAAAATACTTCAAAGCTATAGTAGGTTCCTAAATGTCTTCAACATATATATATATATATATATATATATATATATATATATATATATATATATATAACCATGTGTAGTGGCCGAAAGTCTCAAAAAATTATGCATGTGCAGTGTTCTATAGTTTCCAAAGATGATTTCTCTGATGTCAAGGCGTCATATGTAAACAATCCTCACCAATTTTACATTCACAATTCAATCCTTGTATTACAAAAAATTGCTCCATATTCTGAGTGATTCTAAAGGTCACCTGAACAACAAATGAAATGAGCAATTAGACTTTTGTGTTTTATGAAAATTTGTAGTGACTTTAAAGACCACCCTAACAACTGTTGAGATGATCAATCAGACTTCAGTACTTTGGATATGAAGACTTAGGACTGAAATGAGTTGACGAACCATTGGAAACCCAGGAGCACTGGATAGCTGTTCCGTCCTAGAATGAGACTCGTCAGCAGTACTCACCAACAACCCCAACAGAGATCGAACTCAGAACCTTAAATCTTCTCGACGAACACGTTAAGCATTCAGTCAATGGGTCGAAGTTCGGTGGTTCACACTTTTCTGCTTCTGTTAATTCGCAATATAGCCTAACTATCACCAAAATTCTTCATTTGGCATCCGTTTTACTTCCGTCTGGTTGATCCTATACGTCACGTCTTCTTATTAGAACTTCGGGAGATTCATCCTGAAGCATGTAACTAATATGCACCATATAGCAAAGTACTTTTTAGGATGATAGTTGGACCATGTTGCGAACTGACAGAAGCAGAAAACTGTGGAACGTAGAACTCCAACCCAGTGGTTGAAAGGCTAACGCGTTCACCACGAATCCTGAGGATCCTGGGCTCCACCTATGGTATTGTCCTGGATGCATACCTCTAAGGAGTCCCATACTGTGGTGAAACAGCTATCCAATGTTCTTAGGTCTCGAATGGTTCTCCAACTGATTTCGGTTCATGATGAATACTGCGGTAATTTGTTACCTCTGAAATTATTAGGGTGGTCTTTAAAGTCACTCAAAAATCTGTCTTTCCAATCAAAATGAAGAAACCTAATTGGCTACTTCACTCGTTGATAAGGTGACATTCAATGTTGAGTTACTCTATGTACCACCCCAGCAATAACCGGAATAGTCAACAAGGTTTGTTTATTTCTATTTGAAAGGCAGATTTTCATAAGATAACGAAGTCTCATAGGTTATTTCAGGTGTTGTTAACGTGGTATTTAATAGAGTCACTGCTTATAGCTACTTTATACTTTGCTTAGTCACGCTCACTAGTGTTTTTCTGCAAAGAAACATCCTGTGGTTTCCTGTCTAGTACTCACTAATCAAGATTTATAACCCATGCATATATGTATGCATATTCAACAGCCATATGGCACATTAACAGGGTGAGACGTCAAAAATTACTAAAACCTACTCAGTTTTTTTGTCTAAATACAGCTAAGAATAGTCATTTTGTGAGAAATCATTTGCCCGACCCATGTCGTTCTATGGACATATGAGTGAGATAGAAAGAAAATAGAATAAATGCCTGTGTATATGGGCTCCTATGTGGTGCCTCGATATCATTTGAATATTCATTGTTTGAATTTACTTAGCGGTTACTAGCAGTGTAATCCAAGACTCTTTCCATTTCACTTGAGACTCATAAGTCGGATGTATCTGCAACCCAGAGAGTGACTAGGTGGCTATCGTGCCTCAGTGGCTTAGTGGGTACGAGGTCCGAGTCTCAGCTGAAACATCATCACTCATTGTGATACAGGCATATCCAACTAACGAGTTGGAAGTGGGACGAAATCCATGTACTTTCAACCATCACTATCAAACAGAGATTTTAGTTTGTCAACATATTTTGATTAGGTAACGATAACGCACTCTAGTTATAGCTTTTCTATAATCAGAGCTTATTTTTGACCGGCTTCGACGATCTAGAAACCCTATGTAGGTCCTTTCATTCTCGCTTTCTTTCCTTGTCACAACATGCCCATAAAGTTTAATGTTATCGCATCTCTTGATGTTCACTCATAATAACTTATCACATACATAAGTGACTGCTGGGTATAAAAGCAAAATGTGCACTCCATGAGCTTTGTCAAGACGAACTTGTACTCAACAATCTTGTCCATGTTTGTGCATTAGGTAATGAGCCTTACTGTGTCGGAATTAACGATACTTGACTGTTCAGACCACGGAAGGTGAAGTAGTGTTCTTACCCGTGACCTTCTTAGAGTGAAAGCCAACTGTCTAAATCAGTGAAGTCACAGTTTTGTGACACTACTGAACCAGACTTTGACTGGAGTTAGTATGATAGCCCCCCGTCTCCGGGTTGCCTGTTGATATAGTCCTGAGTTGGTCCACCTTACTGATTTGCAACTTAACCAATTAACCAAGTTCTCTTTTGCAAAGAAAAGAAACTCAGTCAGTAAGTTTTGTTCATCTAGATGTAGGAATAACTTTGAAATAGAAATCCTCTATACAGATTAGGTTAAACAACAAACTAATTCATATATTTTATCTGGAAAATTCTGCATAACTTATTTCAATCAATTTATCTTAAAGTATTGACACTATTGTATCCAACTGATGCGTAGACACATCTTGGAGATGATTAAAATATGAAATCCAAGCAGAAATATTCAAACTGACTCCAAAGGCCACCACAGTAACTGCTGAAATCGCCAATTAGACGTTTACTCTTTCGACATGGAAGGTGAAAGTTTTTCATGAAATAAAGAATCCTGTTGGTTACCTCAGTAGTCGATAGGATGGCCAATAGAATCATATGTAACCTTGTATTGAATCAAAATGTGTGAAGATGAAGCTCATTTGTTCAAGCAACTGACTTTCAACGACTGAGTCACAAGTTTTCGAATACTGCTCCACGTCTACAGAGGTTTGGGTTATTAAGTCCCAAAACAGGATGAAACTGCTATTATTGACTCTACTGTTGGCCATAATCGATAAAAATCGAAATCGGGATTATAAACCATGGTATGGTTTCTAGATATTCACACAACGACAGTGTAGGAGATCTACACACCATGAAATCAGTAAATTTGTAATCTAATCGATTAATTAAATACGAACACGTACACACAAGGAGACTTACTTCAAACTGACTGAGTATTGAACCATCAGCTAGCACAGTCTCCAATTCTATCATTGAATCCAGCAAACTTGAACTAGGAAAGGAATTCCTCAGTAGAACGCCATTGTTCAGCTCCTTATCGACCACATTATGACTTGATGATCTGAGTGAAAAGCGTTTCAAACGTTTTGAATTTCTTGTGAACTTCTCTAAGGATAAAGTAGGTTGACGTAAAGATGACTGGTAAGATCTTGGTGGGATTGGTGGTGCATCCCCAGAATCTGGTATAGGATTGTCATCATTTATATCATCTGTGACATAATCTATTTATGAGAGAAATAGTATTGAACAAGTTGAAATCAGTTAGCAAAAGTGCACAGTTTAAAAATAGTAGAATAACACAAGACTGTTTCATTGAACCAGGTACAAGAGTCCATCAGTTCACATTGTAACACCTCACGGAACCAGGGAAACAATAAGTGAACAGAAAAAGAATGATATCAAAGTACATGCGAGCTAAGGACTGAAATTAGGAGAGTCTTTAAACTTATGAAGATATTACAAAGTGAAGACTTCGCGCCACTGTCAACGAATCCTTTCATCTCCATGACCTCAGCCAGACAGTTTGTGCTTCTCTAAACAGGTCAAACCAGCACTCACAGTCTTCACTGACTGAAGCCATATCGTGGTCTGCCAACCATTGAACTTCTTCAAGAGCTATCCTACTTTGATCAACATTTCACGTCAAGATAAGCAGTGTCTCAATATGTGAAACGCATTCCCATGCCACCTCAGTAAGTGAAGGTTCCATCGACTTGTCACCTCACCTACTACCCTAGGCGCAAATTCAAAACTACTCATACAGTGACTCCACCACCAACACACCAGTTTTGATGCAAATATCTCTCCTCTGAATATCTTTTTATTTCAACATACATTTATCACAGTGGTGTGGTAAGTTAGAGAAAACGTTTGTGCAGCCTACTCATTGCCTAATGGGTAGTGAGATAGCTCACCAGTCGGCGCCAGAGATGGTGTGATTTGGAAAATGTCAAAACGGCCTTTTTTTACCCCATCTGGAATTTCTTCAACAATGTACCCAACGCTTCACTCAGTATCTTCAAATGTATCTCATCTTACATTTAACAGGTTCAAAACGAATGCCTATCGCACTCAGGTTTCGGCTCAAGGCGTTGTTGAGACTTTGTTTTTTGTCAGCATCTTCGCCTACAGGAAGAACAATGTCATCCACATACTCCAAGTCAATCAGATGCCTTTCAGTGCGCCAATCAGTCTTTATAAGGCAACTTTAATATGAAAGAATATAAAAATGTTTGAAAAGTTGTAACTCTAATCAATCAGTTCTCATGACTTCGATTGCGTTACATCAATATTATTTTTTCTTTAAGCCGACAGTTTTCGTAAAAAAAACTGACTCATGTATGTGCGAACATATTTCTTTGTTTCAGACTACAGGTGGTTGTTGGGAAATTCTGAAATAAAATCGAAATTAACTATCTTCATACTCATTCCAGGTTGGTATTCATCAGATAATGAAATCAGGTGGAGAACCTTTAGAAACTTAGGAGAACTAGATAGATGTTTCGTCTTACTGTGGGACTACTCAGCAGTGGCCATACACACCCAGGACCTTCACATTCCTCAGCCATGTTACCACTGATCTCTATCCAATGTCTCCACACCCAGCTTGGTCTGCTCTTCCTTTGAGGTTTGCGGGGATTTATTGATTGATTTTTGGTTAGTAATCTTCAGATTGTCTAATCTGAAGTGCTGATGGAATTCTGTCGATCATTTCGTAAATGCGGCCACGAAGTTAGGCGGTCAGTCAGTTGAAAGACGATCGGTAAGAGGCTGTCCTCGATTAAGGTTTCGTAGGCGTCAGCACTCGTCGGCAAGGAGTATCCGCAAATCAGTAGAGTCATGAATGAAAATAATTTCAAATTAATGCGTTATTCTTTCTTCTACAGACTAAACTTCAACCATTTCGAGAACTGAAGTCCTGAACGCCATAAAGCTGCTGAAATCCAGGGAAGCAGCTGGGCCAGATGGAATTCCTTTAGAAGCACTGAAAACTGACGCAGAGACATCAGAGGACATGGTCACACCACTTATTGCAGACGGTTTGCAAGGAAAGAAAGCTACCTGTTGACTGGAAGAAGGGCTACCTTGTCAAACTCCCAAAGAAGGTCGCGGAATCATGCTCCTGTCCACACCAAGCAAAAATACTAAGCCGCATCATCCTGGAGGGGCTGAAAAATATGCTGGATTCAAAATTACCACCGGAACAAGCTGACTGGCTTCGGGAAGAACAAACTATGTGTGGATGAAATTGCAACGCTACGCTGCTCATCATCATACAACAGAGCGTAGAATGGCAATCAACTCTCTACCTCAATTTCATCGATTTTGAAAAGGCCTTCGACAGCGTCTACAGAGAAGTAATTTGGAAACTTCTTTAACACTACGGAGTGCTGCAAACCTTTGTCAACTTCATTCAACACCAGCTTTATGCTATGAGAGGATGCTATATACCAAGTAATTCATAATGGAAGGTTCAGTGACACCTTTGAAGTAAAGACAGGAGTAAGACAAGGCTGCCTACTATTACCGATGACCTTTCTGATTGTGGTCGACTGGATCATGCAAGAAACTGTGAGGAGTGAGAATTTGAGCATATGCTGTTTGACTGATGAAAAGACCTTAGGAGATTTGGTTTTCGCCGATGATGACTGATGTCTGTTTGCCTTACAAGCTCGGAGATTTACAGGCGAAAACTAACAAGTTGACAGAAGAGGCAGCGAAGACGGGACTTCAACTGAACGTAGTGAAGACAAAGCTGAAAAAGATATCCAACAAACAACAAACACGAATCACCATCAACGGGAGAAATCTTAAGGAAGTAGTCTCTTTCATCTACTTAGGCAGCATTGTTTCAACTACAGGCGGTGGCACAGATGAGGATGTCAAAACCAGGATCGGAAAGACTGCAATACAGGCCTTCCTTCATTAATCTGAAATAATGTGGAGATCTATTGCGCCCCACTGCATTTAGCATAAAGAATAAGATCCGAATTTTCCAACACTAAGTCGGTCAAGTCAGTGCTTCAGGGTGATGGTTGAGAGATTTGAGGTGTTACGAAAAGTATTTCCAACAAACTACACACAAACATCAATAGCTGTCTACGCTCGATACGTAAGATCAGATGGCCAGAATAATAAGAATCAACAACAAGGAACTCTGGCTGGCTTGAAACTAACCAACCAACAACCTACTGCCCAACAAGTATACAGAAGAAAGTGGAGATGGATTGGATTGGACATACGCTGAGAAGACCATTTGAGGACACCATGTGCCAGGCCAGGCCCTCGAGTGGAACACAAACGAGAAACAATGAGTTGGGCGTCCGAGGGTGACATGAAGGAGATGGTATGAGGAGGAAATGAGAGTTTGTGGGGAGTCGTGGAGCCAGGTTGAAAAGACTTCAGAGAAGAGAGGGAAGTGGTGATTGGTTACTGAAGCCCTATTTTCCACTAGGAACCCAAAGGACAAATAATATAAATAATAATAATTTCGAGAAGTAGTCATATGAGAGGAATAGTCGCTGAATAGAATTTGAACGGGGTGAATTGAAGTTATCGTTACTATCTCATTCAATTCTGCAACCTACTTCTCAATTCATCGCTTAGTATTGACTAAGCTTCAAGGTCAACTAATTTCTTGCATAAAATAAACTCATCTTAAAAAAAATAATAATTTATCTGATTGACCAGGATTCATTATTATTATGATCATTGTCTAAAATTACTTTCTGACTAATTCTCCTAAACAGCAAAGAAGATTTTTAATCGAATCAGTCCACTGATATCGAATCGGACAGAGAGAAACAAGATGATTATATCTGTTTATTTTCTAAGAAAAAATTATTTTCCTTCTAGCGATCAGAGCAACAACTTATAAAATTATCAATGTTCGTAAACTAGTATGAATTAAACGAACATTGCTACAATTACAAGAAATACAAACTGGATTAACTTCGAGGCACAGATTTCAGCCTTCCATTGGCATGCTTGTGTTAATAGGAATAGTATAAAAGAGAAGAATTTCAGCATATTATGTTACTTGATTAATTCTAAAATGCCTATCTTGCCATCTGTATCTATTGACACTAAGTTCTATTAAGTGAAAAGTCCGTTCCCCTTACAAATACACTGCTAAGTTGAGCGGGAAAACAGTAGCAGACTAAGGGTCTGACTGTTGAAAGTCTCAATAGAGAAGTATACATCAAAGTTATTGAAGTAGATGACAAAGAGCTTACATCGGCGACGGGATTCGAACTATAGGCACCAGAGATCTCTGTTTAATAACTAGTTTGCCAGTAAGACAGGATTGTTAGTCAAATATCACTCATTATCTTCACAAAGACCATCAACTGACAATCAATACTACTCAAATTAGTTTCCTTACTATTCATCAGTGAATTTCTTTCCTGACTTAAATCTTCTCTGTCGGCTTGTTTTACAGCCGAGAATATTTTCATGAAAATTTAATATGACTGAAACAGGGAATACTGCCAGGTTCCTTATTCACTCGGTTTTATGGGACTACAGAATTCCGCCGTCCTTGAGCAATTTCGAAATGACCTTGAAAGCACTAATAAAAATAAAGGTTGCTTCACTCAAACTGTGAAAGAAGAAATGGAAAAAAATTAGGATAGATACGGATTTCTATTTATCGATATACAGGAAGTGGAATAACACGTAGCATAACCATACTCATCTATGTGAGTCGAGTTGCATAACAGTGAAATACCTGAACTGTGAAATGGGCTAAAATGAGTTTTCAGACTGTCATTCATCACATAATGTGAAACAATATGATAAATAAATCCCTCCGACTTGATCGAAACTTTCACCATTAAAGTTCTGCATAAATCTTTCTACAGTGAGCGACATCCTTTCGATAAATTAAAGCCTTCTAGAAAGAACACACAGTCATCTTCATCTGCATTCATTACTTCGAAGTTCAATCATTCCACCCTCAACTATTACGCAAGTAATCCTATATAATGAGGTATTAGTTTGCATTGAATAACTTAAGTGTGGTAAAAGTTTGAGTTGGCAATGATTTGGTCACCGATTTACGTACTTGGCTAAAATCCAAGTACTCGTCACTGCTTTCACATGAAGAGTATGGAATTCATGTATTAAGCACTTCTCAGATGATCAACTTAGTTATTAAAAATGACAGTGGGTGATGATTGAAGGTGAAACTAAAATCTGGTCGGCAGGCGGGTCTCGTACCTGAGCTGGCAGAGCACCTGGCTGGTAAATCACAGGTCGCTAGTCGGAATCTTGCCGGGGCTCAGATTTTCATTTCACCTTTAATCATCATCTAGTATTAATATAAGTTTGCTAAACCACATCTGTCTCAGATAGTCAAACACATAACTAAATATGAATTCATTATCAGTCGTCACTTGTAATACAATGATATGAATTTATATTTGTTAGAAATGCCAAAATCGATGACTTGCTGATCTCTCTACATATAGTTAATACCTACTAGGTCAATAGTAGTGCCTTTGACTGCAACACTGAGTGATATGAGTTCAAATCTCACACGGGATGTCACTTCCTTCGTGGTTGCAGATGCCCCTTACTGACGAATGCGAATGGGAAGGAAATCTAAGTCGAGAAGGGCTTTCTAGTGATTGCCTTCAACTAACCAATATGCATCAAAATGCATGGTGATGCTGAGTCTCCTAGGCTGGTGACCACATTGCAAAATGATCGAAAAAATTTAGTCATTACTAAACTACATGAAGTTGGTTATCCCTACAGTAACCAGTTAGTGTACATAACCCAGCCCTAAAGGATGTCGATCGTGTCCTGAATAGCCGAGTTGTAACGTCTCTGACCGCAGTGTTTTGTGACGGGAGTTCCAAACAATGATGGATTTATTAACTTCCCCATTGTTCAAGATGAAGCTTGCTGGAGAGTCCCAACAAGTACAAAACCGAAGTGGACCAGAACTTCCTGCCAGTTACCTCCATCCAACTAACAGTTTAAATGTCGTAAACCCAAAGGGAAGTCACAGAATGTCTTACCCTCCTAAAATAATGACTGACTTGGAGTACCGACGCATAATTTTCAGTAGTAAGGTAACTGAACCGAAAACAGTGTGAATTCTTAAAGCGCAATGGATCAGTCCCATCGATAAGTTAATTGCTGGAAGGAGTACACATTTTTGAGACTAGAGGTTATCAGGGGACCCTTACAATGACGACAGCAGCATAGTTCACGTTTAGTGCTGGTTATTCACATACCTCAAACGGATTTTGAAAAATTTCAACAGGCAGTTGTAACCTGTGCGGTCGGTTATTTCTATTATGAAAACAGTCATTCACTTATGGCACTGCATGTTGGCTACACAGTGTCATGAAGTGACAAAAGAAGTAGAAAAGTTGAGGACTTTTGGAATCTGACCAAATTGTTGTATGGTAACATGATTGTCCCTAGAACTGACGGTCTTGGATATAAACGCTGATGGGACTATGATTGTGAACTAATAAGGAGGCTCTAACCAGAACGAAGCAGTTTTCTGGTGCTCCCAAGCTTTTAACCGTCCTCCATTATGCACACTACTATCCTGACATCAATCAGTCCACACGGACCTCCAAATCATATCGATTTATTATTTTACATCTTATTCCCAACTATTCTTGTCTTTCGCATCGCTTTTGAATAATCTTTGCTCCGGATTCCTTATTGGTCGATCGTTATCTCTTTATCCATTGGTTTACACATACATACTGCTTACATGGATTTTTATAGGTATATTTCGTTACAATAGCATTTTGAGGCATCTTTTATGTGGTCCTAATTTCTTCAGCTTTATTGTGATATGGATAGTAAGACTTTCCATGTATCCGGAACTAGTGCTGAGTCATTCTTGTTGCTGCGTGTATTACGTGTTGATTCGATAAAGAAAGATTCAGTTACCAATCTCTCCATCCACCCAGTTATGTTAGTTTTAAGGATTTTCACCCTTTCCCATCCTACTGTGCGGTTGTGTGTAATTACATGCATAACCATGGCCGACCTTTTTTTCTGTATTCCTTATTTCACTAAGGTCTACCAATTTTATCTAGCTTGGTTTTCAGGCTCGGATAGCCTAATCGACCTTGGGTGAGTACTCTGACCTATGTATTTGACCTTGCAGTCGTTGCAAGGGTAGTGGTAAAATAAATGGTTATGCCTAACTGAATATAAAGGATCTTTATAGGATGAAACGCTATCTCAGCCTTAATGAGAATCCCACGTAATGTCTCTGAGGTGCTTTCTTTGGATGACTATGCTGCAGAGGTTTTGAAGTCTATCATACCAGCACTCCCATTATTATTAATAACATTATTATTACTCTTACTAACGCCTGTGTTACTAATATTTGTCACATTTTTCTTAAGATTCGTAAGGAACTTACCAGTTAATTAATTAAAGTAATTGTTAATGAGTAATGTATCCTTAATGTATCTGGTTTCTTGGCTTCGGTTTTCTGTTTCACTTATACATTTTCTAAGACATTTTACCAAGCCAAATTTAAGTGGTGTAGAGTAAGATGATATGAAATATAAGTAACGGTTTGAATGTGAAGGTTTTCTGTAGATACTAGTATCTAAAGTCCCATCTTGTCTTCGTTTTATTCTGCAGTCCAACATCGTTAATTCCCCTTCAGTATTTTTTAATTCATAGGCAAATTGGATTGCTTTGGCTATTGAACTCATATATGTAAAGAAACTATGTATGTGCACCGATTTCAACACTGTAAACGCATCATCTACATATGAAAACCATACTTTTGGAGCAAAACTGAACGTTTCCATAGCCATCTGTTCCCAACTATTCATAAAATATGTCTGCCACGATAGGAGTGTTGGTGATCCCAAGGTAACTCCTTCAGTTTGTTGGTATATTATTCTATTCTGAAATTTAAAAACTGTGGAATTTAGGTTTAGCTGTCTTCTAAACATGATATTATCTACTCTTCCACTGTATGATAAATCTAATAAATCAATAAAAAATGGAATTGTACAGGGTTTACGCTTATATTAATTAGGACTTTATTTTTCATCTGTCACACTGTTTAATGGAATGAATGCAATTCTGCAAGCATACAAAAACTCACCACTTGGTTTAACTAATAATTCAAGTGTACCATGAGGTTGTTCACTTGCAGCTCGTATCAAATTTACTACCTAGAAGTGAGAAAATGAAACAATAATAATCGAAAGGGATTATAAATCTTGCCTTGATCCAGATTTTCGTTCCACCTTCATCCATTATCAATACAAGTCTATCAAACCATAGCTGTTTCAGTTAGTCAAACTGGTCATGAATTTTAGATCGTAACAAACTTGCTCTAATCTGACACTCATCTCTCTCTCTCCACAAACACACACAGAGTTTGTTACATGGCATCTATTATTTTACTACCGAGGGGTATGTAACATCCAATAAACAATCTGTACAGCTATTTATTTATCAATACATAGACTATTCATACAGTCAATCATTAACGAAGAAATATTACGAATACGCAAATTGAGACAAAAGAATGCCTTTTCACATAAATAATAACTATAAAAATTTTTAATTTTGAACAATACTATAAAATATTGAAGATACATCAAATTTTAAATTTTACAAAGGTACACACAAGGTGGGGATACAACTAAAAAGAATGCCACTTTTCTAAAAAGTGATAAGTTTTTACTATGATTACCTACTTTATCCATCATTAGTGATAGATTACATTTATTTATATAACCACTGATTATGTGTAGAATGAATAAAGTTGCGTCAACCGTTTTATTTTTCGAAATTACGACTTTGATAAGACAAATAATGCATAAGTTATTTCTTATCACAAGGTGATCAATGTTGTCTACAAAACAAGAAATTATGCAAGATTGAATATTGAATGAAAACTCACTAAATGAAAGGAATTATCATGTTCATAACAACGTTACCATAACTTTAAATATCACCTGAAAAACTACTGAGAAAAACTGCCTTTACGGCCGAAATACTGAAACCTGACTGGTTATTTCAGCAATTGCTTGGGTGACCTTCAGCTGTTAGAGCGGGCTCTCAAGTCGCCTAATTTTTGTGTTTGTTAACACGCATAAGTAAACTGGAGTGATTTTGCAGTGCCATTCTAGGAACTGTTCAAATAACCAGTCAGGTCCCATTATCTTTGCTGGTAAGGTGACTTTTCATGAAACAAAACGGCCAATCGTTTATTTTAGTGGTCGTTAGAGTGGGCTTTACACTAACCGTAGATTGACCACCTCTTTTTGAAGTACTGAATGATTCTTAAGGCCACCAAAGTAACGACTGAAATCTAACCAGTTAGGGTTCTTTATTTTGGTTGAAAGGGTGTTACTAAGGGGTTACTGCAATTAGAAACTCACGTTAATGCTGTGGTATGCATACACTTATATGGGAACAAGTTTGTTCAGCATGTTTTTGAAGTCGTATCGAGTATAATGTCCAGCATGACGGTGAGAAGAGTGACAACCCAACCATAACTTTGCAGAGTAGTTCAGATAAGAAAACTCACATTTTGAGATACATCTTAAGGTACCCTGAAAAGTATCCATTAAATTGTGAAATCTATGATAGCGAAAATGAGTGAACTCAAATAAACAATGTCAAAATTTACCTGTAAATGAGTTTGACTGGAAACATCTTTATTATTGATGAATAAGATTTGATCACCTTCTGACAGTCTTGGGATACACAAATCTGCAGGCATATTTGCACCAACACGACTGACAATAACTGGCATCCCGTGATCAATTCCACCTTTGACATTGAATCCAAAACGTCCATGGCTATCCGGTCTAATGGATATATGCACAAGTCCTTCAGAATTCAATTCATTTACTTCATTGGCCGGATGAAGTGTGCTTTCTCCATCAGGTGCACCAGGATGGAATGGGTCCTTAAGGAAACCCTTACTGTGATGTGTGTTGTATTGAGAACTGCTGACGTCATTATCACAGTCGACTATGACATCTAAATGCTAGTGTATGGGTATGCGTGTGAATAAAATGCAAAAATATGAAAATTTACTTGAAAATAACCGATATGAATTAAAACGGATGACTAATGTCAACCAAAAATGATATGAAGCAGCTCATTCTGAGAGATCTCCTTGGCCAGCTCACTGAAACGGTGGTGATCATAAACAAATTCCTAAGACAATGAAAGTGAAAACTGCAACTTAATACATTTAAGAATACAATACTGAGATAGATTTCCGAAACCTCTAGTGAGAAGCCATGAAATGTGGTGTCTACTAGGTAGAGTGTGGAGGACAAATAATCACTGATGCAGAAATAACGGACCATTATATCGAGAATCGATAGAAGTAATAAAATGTCAACCATTCGTTAAATAGTAGTCTGGGTTCGATCCCCAACGGGGCCACTGATTTGCGCTGCCAAGGAGTCCCAAACGAGGACGAAACAGCTATTTAATGCACCCAGGATCTAAACATTCAGTCAACTGATGTTAGTCCATGATAAACGCTACTCTGAAGGCAACTCAACCAAACAAATTGCCAAATTGGATTCAAAAGTTGTTTCGTTGACTTGGTATTTTCTAGAGCATGAGTTAAATAACTGTATTAATTCGATAAAACCATTCAGTCCGAAACTAACAAGCAAACTTTTCGGAACAACTGAATAAAAACAATAAAAATAGCGCTGTGAATTACAGTATCAAGGAGAATTGACACCTAGTATCGACATTCTTCATGAACTGACATCAACTGAAGAAACATGGAAAACCTCAGGTGTTTGCATCCACGATCCCGACAGTGGTCGAACCTACGACCCCCAAGTTCCACGAAGAGGACGTCACCACTGAGCATCTTAGATCAGAATTAAGTGGCCCAGATTTTACTACTTCTGTTCGTTTGGAATATGGCACAACCTTCACACAGCGTCATGTTTGAGTATTTGTCTTCACGTCCGACTTGGTTTGCACCCCCACTCACAACTTCTTACTAGAAGATCATGAAATCTTATCTCTCAGAAGATCGCCAATGAGAACTTGGGAGTAATTCAGTTTGGAGGTTTGTGTGGATTTATATACTAACCTCAAATCGCCATTCATCACGGACTGAAATCAGTTTGAGAAACTTTGAAAACCTGGGTATCACTAGACAGCTGTTTCTTCCTAACTAAAGGGCTTCCTGTTGATCATCTCTAACCAGCTAACATCTATCGAAGTGCACTGCGATGCCGAACTTGCCAGCCTGGTGGCCACATCGCGAAATATGATTGATCGGATTCAGTCACTACTCAGGACTAGGTAACATGATATTAGTCACTCTCCAGTGACCTATTAATGTATCTAGGTTAAATATGAGTTCTTTCAACCATTAAAATAGGAAGTTTGTGATGAAGACCAATCTGAAAAGCCAGAGGTACAAAAAGAAGCTGTCATTTTCCTTTCTAAAAAGTCATCAACAACTAACTAATCTGTCATTCTATCATATAAAATCCAACGTTGTTTCGTTTGGACTTGAATTGCTAATCGTTTGAGAAAATCAGTCTAATGATCAATACAAGACCAGACCGATAAAGCCATTTTACAGAGACAGAAGAATAAATACGTCTATACCGTTGTGACCGATTATAAGCCATATCATCAAGACTTTGTGATCACTGAATCCTATCATCTTGAGGGCTGCCCCAGACTGGGAACGTAGCCCTCCCCCTACATGGCAAAGACTAGTAGTCAAAGGCTTGGTGGGTTGGAGCAACGTCTTGACCTGGGGATCTTTAGCCTCCTCAGTAGCCGACCCAACTTTGGCTGATACTGCAAGTAGAGGTAGGCAGTGGCTTCACATGCACAACACATGTTGCAACCACATTAGTAAGTGTGGTTTTACAAACTTATCTGACTGAGATGCAATCTTGTCTGAACAGTCAGTCTGTGCATGACTTTGACATTGCTTTCACGACGGTTTCAATACATGCAAGAGATGACCGAAAAACTATAGTTAAAAAAATGTACTTTCTGCATACCTTCTACTTTCAGCAGTAACGTCTAATGGCCAAATAGGGGAAGAGATCAAATGGCTGCGTAGCATTCTGATCCTTTTATGTGTAATCAGATATTTCACGAGCGTCGGAAAAGGTCTACGTTAACGAGTCATATCTGACTTTCGATTTCATAATCAAGCTTAAGGTTGGTGCAACCCCAAAAGCAGGTGAAGTCATCCACATATTTCACTACTTTTCTCATCATCTTTATTCTACGATTCAAATCAGTCAAGTACCTGCTAAGTGTCGAGTGAATCTGCTAAAACTCGGAGGTACTTAGGTTCAGATTTATCAGCACATAAATGAAGAATTCAAATGGGAATGGTGATAGCGGAAATTCTTGGTGAAGACCACCGTTTTTTACTACTCTGGATGATAACTTCACGTAACCCCAACATTATTGCTTGAGTCAACTCATAAACTTTTATTAATATAGGTACTCCCTTCAAGGCTAGACAGGACGGAGTTGCGTTCAGGTGGAATGCCACGTTCAGGTGAAGAAATATGACAAATGTTGAGGGCCAGTTAGTACGTTTCAGCTCATGCCTGTCTTAAGCGTGTCTGAAGCAACCTTTTGGCGCTCAATGATTGTGAATCTTTGGATTTAAAACGAGAGCAACCTGTGGCATCTAAGGGGTAGTATTTTATTGTGAATCAAAAAGAGATCGAAAATGACAAGTTAGTAATCAAAGGTTAGGTTACCGGGTTGTTGGGTAAAGTCGAAAAAATAGCTACATCGCGTACGGTCTCGAACTAGCGATTCGTTCAATACCTTATCTGTTTAGCTGTGACATCGAGGTGATGGTTCCGTCAGAGTTTGAGATGGTTCACTAAATGTAGCTCAGCTGTCGTGCAAACGAATTGAATGTGAATGTCCACTTATCATAACCCAACTCAGCAAATAAGGACAATGACGTTTAGTTATTAAAGTAGGACCAGTACATAGAGAATGTCAAATGCATAACCATAATGCAGTCAACATAGAGAATAAATGATAAATTATGGAAGTTATAGAATCCCATCACACTGGAATACACTTTAACCCGGTCAGTGTATTTGGGATTGATGAAAAAAAAGATCAATAAATTACAAAATCGGCCTCAACTAAAATCAAACAAGTCTCATTGTTAATCTTATTTCTTCTTTATCTCTCAACGCTACTGTAAAACCACTGCTACGCCTTCTTCTGCAATCATCATCTTTAAAATGAAAAGCAACGTGTTTCGAAAAAGTAAAACATCCAGGAAGAAACAAAAAGAAAAATCAACTTTATCTTGAAAAGAAATAAACAAAACCACTACTAGTACTGGTAGCTTAGGTGATTAAATAACATCTAATTTATCAACTGATATACTATCCGTTTCCATGGCATTCTGGTAGATAGATAACACACCAGGACAGTAAATCTTTCATGGTTGCCGGTAGTGGGTTTTCTTCTCCTCAAATTTCTCAGTACACTTCATAGGCAAAGACAAGGGATTGTTAATTAAATATTTACGAGAAGTGGATGTGTCCAGTTGAACATCAGTTATAAAGCTAGTCATTATCTATAAACCATTGTAATGCATGATCGATGATATCCTTGAGGAGCTGTGGATCACTGATTCTTAAGTTGCAGTCCACGGGTTCGAACCCCGGTTCATATATCAACGTTTGGGTAGCCAGGTGGTATCAATCTCTTTCACACAACACACGAGTCTGGATGGCTACTGAACGAATGTGGACTGGGTTGCTGAGTATGTTTTGAATTCAATTCGATTATATCATTGTGGTACACTGATATACCAAATGGATAGATCGACTTAGACAGTGGCAACTGTGAATATTTCATTAATTCCGTCCTTTTGACAGATTTAAACAAGGCTTATACACTGAGGTGTACAAAATAAAATAATATCATTTCAAAACAGTGATTCACATCTATCATATGTACATGGTTTAAATATCAGGAATGATAAAGAAAGGTTAGGTACACACTTTTAACGTTGAAATTGAAAACGGAATCGTTGGAACGCAGAAAACCATCACATTAGAGAAGTGAATAACTTTGGAAGTAATAACACTGATGCCGGTTAGTATCCTTGGTCAGCTACATAGAATTAACGTAAACAGTGCACAGTGATATCGTTTGTTTACACGCTGAGTTCATGATACTATTCGACCCAGATGAGACACCCAAATCATTCCAACCGCCCAAATTACACCTATCTATATCAGCAAAATACTATGGATAAGACAATATCAACTACTTGCAGAATTCTTGATTCGCAGTGATAACAATAGTTAGGTCAGAACCAATCAAGAAATTTCACCATGGTTTCTTTATGACACTGACATACTCTGGTCGTCATCTGCGACCTCTTCGAAAAAGAGAACGGCATCAAAACTGCAGGCCGTTGATAAACATAGGTGTAGTTGTGGCATGAATACGTAGAATGACCTTAAAGGCCACCCTGACATATGTTGAAATAACCAGTCAGATTTTGATATTTCGACAGGAAAGGTAGCTTTTCACAAAATGAAGAGAAGTAATTAGCTGTCTCATTAGTTTTGAAGGTAGCTTTTAAAGTCACTTATTATCTGGGTCGTTTACAGTGTCCTTGAACAGGATGGTGAGTATCAGTGATCGATATGAGTGTTCTACAACAACTCTTGTAAGTAGTTAGTAAGATATCGTACAATTTCGAATGATACTTGTACAGTACTACCATTTCATGCTCTTTAATCACTTTTCTAGTTACAGTGGATTCTGTTCTCAACTTCATTGCTCAAAAAGTGTCAGAAGTATATCACAGTCCTAAAATCTATTGTTATCTTAAACTGTGTGCAGGTTGGTTATGGCTGAGGAGAATCCTTAAGCTCAGATGACTGCATTTTATTCTTTTCAAACTGCAAAAAATAGTCTTCATAACCGATCTATATTTATTTCGTAATACATCACTCGGATAGGGGGAGGGTTGCGTGAAAA